CTGTGAAGACAGAACCACAGAAGAACCTTTGATCAGACCCAACAGCAGAGTTACATGAAAAACTCAAAAGTCTCATTAGTCATCACACACTGGAGAGCGGGGAGCTGCAGACACAGCTGCTCTCTGGAACTATTTGGTGGTTTAACCCCCCCAACCAACCCCTTAAAGCTGAGTGTCAAGCAGGGAGGCATTGGGTCCTATAGAGCTCCGGGAGTTGACATCACTTCTCCCGGCATGCAACAGCTCAAATCGAAACGGCGCCATCTTGGCAGGCAGAAGGCCGCAGCTGGGCTATTTGTTATTGTCAGAAAACTCAATCAAATGGGAAATATGGTAGATTCCTGTTGTGCCCCAGGATGCAGAACAGACGCGGACGACATAAGGAATGAGCCATCTACAGGATTCCCCAAGATCCGGAACGCCGCAAACGTTGGATCATTGTAATAACAGGGTATATACAGCAATCCTTAAGTAAAATTTACTACTTTTTAATACTTTTTTTTTACTACCTTCAGAATTTTTTTAAAACCATCACAACACTAAATTGCAAGTGTTAATCAGCGACCTATTTACACATATTTTAACATATATAACATACAAAAAGAATAGACTTAGAGACTCACTGATGTTGACAACGTATTTCACATATTTATTTTACTTAGAAAATAAGCCAGGCACTTCTGTTTAGCGGTTCAGACAGTTGACCACGAGGCCTGAAATGATGTGGAACGACCACTGAATATGACGTCATCATTATGTGACCGGATATGCTAAAGTAGGGCTGCTCGATTATGGCAAAAACAATAATCACGATTATTATGACTGAAATTGAGATCGATTATTTAAGACGATTTTTCAATTTATGTAGATTTGTTTATTTAGTCTTTTTTTTTTTTTTTTTTTTTTTTTTAATTTAACGTGTCCTGTCTGGCTGTGAAGCAAGCAGAATTGATGTCTGAATGCTGGTAACAAGCCTTACAGTTTTACTCTCAGGTGGAGCATCAGATCATCTGCTTTTAATGTCTCAGGTGGAGCATCAAAGAGTCTGCTTTTAATGTCGCACCTGATATTTAAAACTTTATTGTTATTGTTTTTGAATGCTTTGTAATTTCGACCAGACACGGAGACAGAGGTGAAAGAGAAAGGAAAAGAGAAAAGGTGGGGAGAGAGGGGGTTAGGTGGGGGGGGGGATTCAACAAAAATAAACAATAATGAACAAGAGTCTGCTTCTAGACCTGCAAAATGAGACGAGAAAAAAGCAAAACATAACAAAAAAAATGGGACACAACACCAATATAACAAAATCAAGCTATCACTGCGTCAACTTGATGAAGAAATATATAATCAATCATTGTTTAACTAAACAGTCACACGATAATATACCACAGTGCATTGAGTGCCCACCATAGTCTTAAGACATGTGTTGAACGTGCCCAAGCCCATACTTATGAGAGCACCATGTGAGCACCTGTGTGTGTACACGCGCTTGTTTATGTAAGGTTTATCTATAGGAGCGTCCAATAGAGAGTGTGAGGGACCACAGATCTGCCCCCCAAAGACGCGTAGGAGACGGGGGGGAGCTCCAAGTCCCAGAGATCCAGGCGCTGCCCCAGAACACAGGAACCCCAAGGAGCCCGCAACCAGAAAGGCCCCCACCCCCCTCGAGAGGCACAGAGGATCGCCCCGGGGGGCCACAACCAGCAGCCGGCAGAGCCCCGGGAGATATCAGCGGCAAGTCCTCAGGCCTGCCCGCAGCCTCCCACCCCCTAGCCGGCCGAGTCCGGGACCCAGCGACCCGGGACCCAGGGGCGACCACCCCCGCCGGGGACCCAGCAGAGCCCAGGGACCCAGACCCCCCCAGGCCGCCACCGGGATTGATCAGGCAGATGCCAAAAATCTTAAACTCCCTGACCCGGGAGCCACGAACACTCAGGCAGACCAAGGCATCACACCCCCACCAGGTGTGACAGGGGGGAGGGGAGACGAAGATCTATATCATCAAAGGAGGTCCCAGGAGAAGGGAGGAGTCAAAGGCCCCACCTGACATATACAGTCATACACAAACACAGTCACACACTCCCTCCCTCATGCTCACACATGCACATACAACCAAAGACTTACAAAAATACACGCCGGACACCCATTCATGCTCCCCATACACACCCTATTCACTCTGGTCCCGGTAATGCCGCACATGGGGTACAACCACCACCGGTTACCAGAGTTTGACCCTTTCTGCTGGGGTGCTGATGAGCAGGCTCCCCCGCCCACCGCCGAGCACAGCAACCCACCACCCCAGACCCCAACCAGACGGCCAGATCTCCCTCCTAGTCTCCAGCCCCAGGCAGCCAAGCAACAACAGAGGTGTGCTAAGACCCCCTGGTCTCCCTCCACCTGCTCCAACATAGTGTTGTGTGTTAATGAGGTGTATTCTATTGCTGTGGTGAGCGGGCAGTGCGGGCATTTTCTGGCCTATGCCAGCTGATGCCACTGCACCACCCTACTTGCACCCACAGCCCTTGGTGTCTAAATGCAGTTTAAAATTCGAAGTGGGCACCGGCACTCGGGAGGAGGCTGAGAACTCCCCCTGCCAAGTGCCGTTGAATGTGCTCACTCCCAAGGCCCTAAGTGTATGTTTGCGTGGAATGTCGTCGGTGGAAGTGCATAAGGTGCAAATAAAATTGGGGGGCAGGAAGCCACAGGAATGCGGAAATGGGGTCCATACCCGCACTCCTCGACTTGTCCACCCCCCAAGGTCCTATGTGCATGTTTGTGTGATGATGTGAGGGAGCAGGAGGAGAGAAATAAACGGGGATGGGGAGGAATGGCTGGTAGGGCTTAGCCCTCCAGGGAGCCAGCTCCCCCACTGACCCCAATAGGCACCTCCGTTGTCATACCGCCGCCCAGGGCATGGAGACCCCAGCCCATCCTGCCAGGGCCCAAAGCAGCAGCATCACAGAGCCCCACAGAGCCCGAGGGAGCCGACCCAGCCCCACCCCAGCAGAATATCTATGCCCATCCCTGCATTTGCACAACTTCCAGAATATATAAGACATAAGACATCCAGGTAAGGTTGGGTCCTCCCCCTCCTGGACCTCCCCCTCCCCTGTGATGGGACAACAGAGGAGCCAGGGCCTGCCCTACGCCCCCGAACCCGGGCCAGGTACTTCTGTGTATTCCTGCCTTCTTCCCGGCAGCGTACATGTAGGGACCCGACCCCCAAGGCCCAGCCCAGATCCCCACACGGGGCCGGCCACCCCAACACCCCGAGCCCCCAGGCCCCCACCCAGACCCACCCAGGGGCAATGCAGCCGCCAGGCAGTAACCCATGGCCGCCGCCAAGACCTCCAAGGGGCCCCACTCACAACCGCCAGCAGTACACCCCCCGAGGCAACCCAAGCACCTCCAGAGGGGGGGAACAGCCCCCCAGTGCCAGACATCCCCAGTGAACCCATCCCCAGGGAACATCCAGATACTCCAAACTCAGACCCTCCACCCCCCCACCCACATCATCCCGCAGGACATCATCAACGGCCCCCCATCACTGCTATGTGATGGAACCGATCAAAGGAGCCCAGAGAGATTTATTTGAAGTGGAAGCAGAGGCTAAATCAAGTGCAATATGATCTAACAAAAGATTTCTATACTGGTTAATGCAGAGATTTTCTCTATTTTTCCAATTCAAGAGGATAGTTTTCTTAGCGATGCATATGGCAGTCAGAACCACGTGAACCAAAGATTTTTCAATCGGGACATCATCCAGGTTTCCCAGTAAACAAAGAGAGGGGGTGATTGGGATATGACATTTCAGAGACTTTGACAGGTCTTCACATACTCTACCCCAAAATTCCTGGACAGGTGGACAGGACCACAGTGCATGAACGTAATTGTCAGGAATGTTGTTTGTGCAGTGTGTACAGATGTCAGACGACACAAACCCCATCTTGAACATCCGATGACCTGTATAGTGTACTCTGTGTAGAACTTTGTACTGAATTAATTGTAAATTGGGGTGTCTGATCATTTTAAAAGTTTTTAAACAAGTTTGGGACCAGAAGTTCTGGTCAAAGCTGACTGATAGATCCACCTCCCATTTTTCAATAGGGATTGCTATTCTATCGTCTATTTTGGACAGTGTCTTATATACTTTAGACAGTAGTTTAGGGGGTTTGAGATTGCAGAAGTCTAAAACCCTTGGCGGGGTTTGTAATTCTATTTTATTGAGCTTAAATTTTTGTTTGACTACAGATTTGATTTGGTGGTATTCTAAAAAGCTATTCTTTTCTATTCCAAATTGGGAGACTATTCTATTAAATGGGATGAAGTCCAATCCTTCATATATGTTTTCCAGGTATAGGATTCCTTTATTTTTCCAGTCCAGAAGGTTCATCATTTTATTATTTTGCAAAATATCAGGATTATTCCAGATAGGTGTGCGTCTGCATGGTACTAGTGAAGACTCTGTCATTTTAAGATACTCCCACCATGCTGTCAGAGAAGTGCTGATACTAATACTTTTGAAGCCTTCATGTTTTCTTACGCTTGAGCTAATAAATGGTAAGTCTGAAAGCTCTATCGTATTGCAAATTGTCTGTTCTATGTCTAACCAGGACTCATCTAGTGGGTTATCTTGCAACCATCTTGGTATATATTGCAGCCTGTTGGCTAAAAAATAATAATAAAAGTTGGGTAGATCCAGTCCTCCTCTGTCTTTGCTCTTCTGAAGCGTTTTTAAGCTAATTCGTGGAGGTTTATCCTGCCAGAGGAATTTGGTAATTGAGGAGTCCAGAGATCTAAACCAGTCAGCTGGTGGTTTGTTTGGGATCATTGAAAATAAGTAATTTATTCTGGGTAAGACCATCATTTTAATTGTAGCAACTCTTCCCATCAGTGATATTGGTAAGGATTTCCATCTAGCAAGATCATCCTCCACTTTCTTTAAAAGTGGGATGTAGTTTAATTTGGTTAGATCTGCTAACTTGGGAGAGACATTAATTCCC